GATGGAATGGTAGCAGCTACCACTGTGGATGGAATGGTAGCAGCTACCCCTGTGGATGGAGCAGTAGCCGAAGAAGCACCACAAATGGCAGCAGCTATCCCTGTGGATGTAATGGCAGCCGAAGAAGCACCACACACGTTGCTTCTTGTGAAGTCGAAAAGCAACTCGGCAGGAGTGCTGACGCCAACAGAGATGCTTGCCCCATGGGAGGACTTCACCCCCTGAATCAGGCTCGCCTGGACGGAATCCGTCACGTCACTGACTCTGATGGCGACGTCAATGCGGAGTGGATTGATTTTCTGAAAAACAAACGCGTAATAAAGGTCCTCGTTTGTGGAAACAGCGACAGCGTCCCCGTCCGTGTCAGTGTAGGTGAGCGAGAGAGACCCGTCCGCGTGGAAATTCAGACGAGAGCGAATCTGGTCGTGAAGATGGCTGAACGACGAGATGGAGCAGCGCGATGATATGCGATGGAAAACACCGTCGACCTTGACCTAGGGAATGGGGAAGTGGGGAAGGGGAGGGGAGGAGGAGGAGGAGGAGGGGGGGGAGAGGGGTTTACGTAATGAGTCGATCAGGAAGGAGCAAGGAGACGAGAAGCGAAGGGGATGAGAGGGGAAAGGGGGAGGGGGGAGGGATGAATTAACGCGAACGCGTACGATTCACGTGGTGGAACGACGGAGGATTCCTCCAAAAGACGAGATGCGATGGAGCAACGACTCGTTGGAAGAACGACTTGGCCCGCGCACGTTCGTTGAAAATCGATGTAACAAAAGGTGAAAGATGCTAGACGGATGAGGGGACACGTGGATACGATAAGAGCAGCGAGAGGGCAATGAGAGAAGTTAACATGTGGGATATTTGTGTGTAGTAATCGGGTAGTATGAGTGTAGATAGCCTCCAAAAGGCAGAAGGTTAGCGAGACGAGAATTTCACCTTGGTTACAAAAACGGTGCATGGCGAAATTGCTGCAGTGTTACAGGCACACTAGGGACCTGGACACGGCGGAAGAAGGCTTGTGTCGACAGCCACGGATTGGCGATTCGGAACAGTATCGACAGCCATTTGGGTTGAGTTTGGAGGTAGCAACTGATGGCTGTACGATATCAAGAACAGCTACTACGATATCAAGTACTTGTTGCCTACAGTCAGATATGTACAGGTTGGGATGACGTCTTCACTGTTTCGGTCTTCAGGGATAGGATCTGTAGAGACGGATGAAAGAGGGTGTTTCTATATTGGAGTTGGTGTGAGAGAAGCAACAGAGACGGAATCGCTATGCTAGGACGACTTCTTCAGAGATAACGAAGAACGGTATTGACTGGATACAGAGTGGATCCCCCGAAAACGAACAGGGTGTGAGAGAAGCAACAGCCTCTGAATCGCTGTGCTAGGGCGACGTCGTCAGAAATGATCTCGTACAGAGCATATGGGGAATGGATCCCCAAAAAACATATGGCAGAGGGTATTCCTGACTGGGAATTGGTGTGAGAGGAACAACTGAGATGGAATCTCTATGTTCAGATAACTTCTTCACAGAGAACCTAACAACGAAGAAAGGTGTATTCCTGCCTTGGGTTGCTGTGAGATAGGCTAATGCAGTCGGAGAAATGGATTCCCTGAGTTATCTGTGAGTTGAAATTCCCTATGAATCGATCGGACGGTGCAGTGCGATGCACAGATGCGAAAAGGAATGCTGAGAGGTTTCAGTAGTGGCTTGGGCCATCAACCCAACCTTGAGAAAGAAACGATCGAGTCGCGCTCAGAGATTTCCTGCCAAATTTCACGACCAGTGCCATTTCGGCTTGAGGTTGGGCATTGCCATATGGAACCTCTTGTAACACTGAAACTTTCGTAATCCTAAACCCAGTTTGTAAACAAGAGTTTCTGATTTAGCTGTTAGAATTATATTTAATATAATTATAGGCTTGGTAGTTGTGCTACTGCATCCTACTGTAGAGGGGATAACTCCCCTTCTTGTACTTGTACTCTTCTAGTTGATGCTCCTCCTCTCTCGACATTCTCATCTACCTCCTAGCTAAACCTCGCTGCCATAGTCATGGCGTCCTAGCTATCCTACCTTCACGACATGGTAACAGAGCAGGCCGCCCGTCCGGGGCCTGCTCATTACGCTTCCGCTGCGTACTTCACTGTTTGCAATCGTCGCGGCCTTCCTGCTGCCTGCCGTCATGACAGCATGATGGCGCCGTCGTGCTGACGTCGCGGCGTCGACGTCCCGCTGCAGCATCGACGCCGCTCTTTGGCGGCGCCGTCGGGCTGCAGCCGACCGTGCGACGCCGGTGACGCTGCCGCCGCCCACACGCCAGCCTGCACCCTCTCCTCTACACCACCCCTTCTCCTTGCGTCCCCTCTCCCTCCTGCCGCAGCTGCTCTTCTTCGGCTCGGTCATCGCCAGGTCGTGCCACGCCGCCGAGAGCCCTCAGCCGCCGCAGTCGCCGCCTGTCCTCATCGACGCAGCCGCCTTGAGCACGAGCTCCGCCGCTGTCGTCATTGAGGCCGCCCAGATACGGCCAGCTGCCTCTCGTCCGGGGGTGTCATCGCCTAACATGAGGGGTCGATACCCGGCTGCTCATAAGAATTAGGGTATCCGGGGTTAGGGGGTGTGTGTGTGGGTTGAGTGGGCTTGCCACTACCAAGCCTAGGGGGTGTGTTAAAATTATATTTTATATAATTATAGGCTTGGTAGTTGTGCTACTGCATCCTATTGTAAAGGGGATAACTCCCCTTCTTGTACCTGATTCTCTTCTCGTTGATGCTCCTCCTCTCTCGACATTCTCGTCTACCTCCTAGCTAAACCCCGCCGCCATAGTCACGGCGTCCTAGCTATCCTACCTTCACGACATTAGCCACCTCAGTATTGCATTTATAATAAATCTCGTGGATTGGGCCTGGCTTAGAGCCATGGTTTCCACGCCTACGCCGAGCGAAAAGACTGATGCGGTAGAATCATACCTGTAGGTTATATTGCGCTAGTGAGCCCTGGAATTTACAATTAGTGAATGATTGCAAGAGCAAATCCATCCCTCGGTATACAGTACAAATTGTTGGGATATATGAAGTTTTGCATTCCTGCAAGTTCCATTCTTTGTGTAGATTGCAGTATCGCGTTGCTCAGTAAGTAACCATGCACGAGTGCTGATGTCAGCAAAGCATCCCGGGTCTCGGTAATGACGTCAGCATATCGCTTCAGTTACGCGATTAGGCGTAACGAGTCGTTTCAGTCACGCGAACAGTTGCGACCCTATACAGGGGGTATGCTCTATGCTCCAAATCCGCGACTCGCAAATATGGACTAGGACGAATAAGAGCGGTTCACTCCGGGCAAAATGGATTATCGAGTAGCACGTACGGTTTTAGGTGGGGTGGCGTAGGCCGTTTTACTCGTTCTGTTCACGATGGGTGCCTTGGCGTATTGACCCTTTGGCCAGGTTACCAGCGACTTCGCCGCGTGTCATGTGAGGGCTCATGTGGCTTCTTAAAAAACGTTCAGCACATTTGTCGTCTGGTCAGAATTACCGCGGAAAATAGAAGTAACACCTCGTTCTCGATCTTCCGCAAGCAGCGCAGGCTCTAAACGCACAAATCATATAATTTGAAAAACCCTTTTCGTGGGCTCACGAAAAGGCCTTAACGTAATGAAATTATGACGACTTGCCTGAGCGGTTTCGTTAACCAATCACACACTTTCACGACGGTGAAAAAAACCATTGAAGAAAAACATGTTCGAAATGTGCATTGGTTAATGGTGATTGGGGGACCGTGGGTCCTGTTTTCGTATTCGGGACGGACCTGTTCGTGTCACGCGGAAAGCCTGAATATTTACATCATTGGTTATAAAATATGGAAAACGCCCCGAATGTTCTTGATACGAGGATTAGAATATGACCAAAATAATAAGACAGAATGGATGAAAAGGGGGTACGGATTCATGCCCAGGTCAGCGCGCATACAAAATTGCCAGGTGGACGGTGGTATCAGCTGGCTGTCACTTTTTTGGTCCGTCGTGATTACGTCTGATCGCCCTGGCAAGCGCGTATTGGCCGGGCAATTCCAAGCACAGTTCACGAGAAATTTCCGAGCTCGCACTCGCGGGTTGGTTGGCGACACTCGCATGCTGGGATCGCACCCAATTCGGGTGGCGCGATTCGATGGTCGGTGGCATTATGCGACTGTCGTGATTGGTCACAATGTTTTATTGTGCTTTTTAGCGAAGTCAACAGTAGATGTATACCGTACAGACAGTACATCGTCTCCGATCTTATCGAATTTCGGACCTTGGAGTATTACATGGAGTAAAATGTAGTGGACCTAATGTCATACCTACTGTAGTATGACGAATAGGTCGCCTAGCGCGCAACCAGCCCAACACGTAGTTTCCCTAGAGCTATAAATCCTTGAAATGCCTTTCTATTATTAACCTTGACTTTCCACAAAATTATGTGCTCAGGTTATTCAACCTTCGACTACCCACAAGTTCATGTGCTCAGGTTTACTCTTATAAGACTTCCGCTGTCTTACTAGTCTACCATTCCTGAATTACGATCCTTACAAGTACTATCGAGTAGTAGAGATACTACTATACCCAAGGCTTAGTCTCCTACAAGTCGAGCATCACCTTGTCATCACAAATGTCCGACTGTACAGTGAGATCCATATGTTGTGGTAAATGAAGTTTTGCATTCCTGCAAGTTCCGTTTTCAGTGTAGTTAGCAGTATCGAGTTTCTCAGTAAGTAATCATGCCCGAGTGCTGATGTCAGCAAAAGCATCGCACGTCTCGGGATGACGTCAGCATACCGCTTCAGTTACGCGAATAGGCGTAACGAGTCGTTTCAGTCACGCGAACAGTCGTGACCCTATAGTATGACGAATAGGTCGCATAGCGCGATAGTGACGAACAAGTACATTAGCAAACAGGTACTTTTCCTAGAGCTATAAATCCTTGCAATGCCTTTCTATTATTAACCTTGACTTTACACAGAATGATGTGCTCACGTTATTCAACCTTCGACTACCCACAAGTTCATGTGCTCAGGTTGACTCTGATAAGACTTCCGCTGTCTTACTAGTCTACCATTCCAGCAAAGATCCTTGGTTAAGTACTCGTGTTAGCAGATTCTATACTTAGTCTTCTGCAACACATTGGACAAGTTATTTCATGGTATGAGAGCTATCTGGAATTAAGACTACTGTCAACAATGACTGGTTCATCACTAGCACCGTCTGCCGGATCAACTTCCGGAACTACTGGAGTACATGTCTCTACGACCGCCACTTGTCTCTCAGCCTCTGGGCCGTTTCCACCAGCCTATGCTCATATCGGTATGCAACAGCAAAATCCGCCTTCTGTTAACACTCCATGTGTTTCTTCGACTGCACCTGCAGCGCAACAACAACAATCGCAGACAACAGCACAGCAACAAGCGTCAGTACAGCCACCAGTTTCAACGCAATCAACATCGTCAGCGTTCAGTGGAATGAGCCTTGACGGCTCAAGTTATATGCGTGGAGTCACAGCTCCAAGTACTAGTTCGTTCACTTTCTTACCTTCTGGACAACAGCCGCAGTCGCAGCAGTTTCAGCATCCTTTCTATATTTTCGGTCGTTCCCCTGCTCAGCAACAACAACTCCAGCAGTATCAACAACAGCAACCGAAGCAACAGCAACAACAGCAACAGCCGGGTGTTATTTTTCAGCCTCCAATTTTACTTAACAGCACACAGATAAAAACCACTATACCTTTTAACGGAGTCGACTTCTACTCATGGAGCTTTGAGTTTGAGCTTTTGGCGCAGTCTGCTGGGCTATGGCCGTTCTTCACTGGCAAGTTCACGTATCCTGTCGTGGGAACACAACTGGAGCAGCAGAGTTTCTTGCATGCATCTCTCGAGGCTTATACAGTTCTTGTTCGGAACTTGTCGCCGAAGGAGCAACTCGGCGTCCGATAATTTCACTCAAGCTTTACACCAGCCGAAACTGCTTGGAATCATCTGAAGGGGGTATACATGACAAAGGATACAATAATAGTGAGTAAAATACTTTTGCAGCTGACAAGTGTGCAGATGATGACAAACGAAAACGTCATGGACTACGTTAATCGCGTCCGTACACTACGAGATCAACTGGAGAAGAGTAGAGGATACTTCCCTCGTGAGATGTATCTCACGGTCCTTCTTGCTGGCCTTGGACCCGAATGGCGACACACGCGCGCCATCTTGCGCATGAATCACAACCTCTCCGAAGCTGAAATTTCGTCGTATCTTCAAGCGGAACAACAAGATCTTGACCTGCAGTCACAACGCAACAAACAGGGGGATATACAACCCAGTTTCTATTCAACACCAACTCGACGTCCTCGATTCTTCTGTCAGATTTGCAACAAGGGAGGACATTCTACTGACCGATGCTATTTTAAGAAGAGGTATTTACCTCCTGAGGAACAGCAGCAGTCGAAATCATCACGGCAACTACGTCAGCCTTCGAAGCAGTTCTTTCAGCAACATGCGCCTCCAAAAGCAGCATCTGCAACATCAACACCACCAGCGACACTCAGTTCTGCCCCTCCAAGCAACTCATCAAAGCCGACAGCAAATAATTCAACCTCTGCCAACAAAACAGTAACGTCAAAAATTTTCTTACCAACTTCAAACACTCACATGGCTGGTTGCAGTACAGGTACAGATACTTGGTACTTGGATAGTTGTTGTGGCCATCATATGGTCTCTTCAACCAATCCTTTCATCTACAACCGTCGTCGAGTTCTTCAACCCTACCCAATCACACTCGCCAACGGTCAAACAATTTCAGCAGAAAATATCGGCAGTCTACTTTTGACATTTGTCGATACGAGAAAGTCTTTATGCGTTACCAGCGTTTTACTCGTCGACAATCTTGGCTTCAATTTAGTGTCAACTCTTCAACTCTTAAAGAAGAAAATCCGCACGGTCGAAAACTGCACGACACAAGAGCAAGAGTTAATACATGATGTGGACAACACGTACATTGGAAGAGCAGAAACCAAGAATGGCGTATTCGTCTTACGCTTCAATGCAGCAAAATCTTATGAAGATGCCGCTCTTCTTCAAGCTCCATCCATCATCGCAGCCGCCGCTTTGGTAACCGTTCCACCGATTGAACTCGGTAGCAGCGAAGAAGAAAATCTGAGGAGCAGCACTACCGACATCCTTGCCGACACACCTGCCGTTAATATCAAAGAATATATTAGTCAAGAATACGAGGAAAATCTGCAAATCGCTCCTGAAAATTTCTTCGACACTACAACTACTCTTGAGAAGACTTCTGACAATTATTCAACTACCAATCTTCAAGAGAAAGGTTATGCACTCTCAAGGTTTTTCCTACCTTCATATTTCATACCATTACTCCTTGCTTGGCTGGCCATAGCAGCAAGCGAGCTCAGTACCCCGCTGCAGACTTTCCTTTACTACAGAGAAGCCACTTACCACACTACGACCTCCAACGACTACGAGCAAGGCATCGGCATCACTCGTCATCAAACCCTTCATCATCGCGTTCAAGAATGCAACGGAGCAGAAGGGTTGAACAGTACCCTACACGATCTACGTGAGCAGCTTCATGCACTGCTGACTCAACGAATTTCTCTGCCCAAAACTGCACCATCAGATCTGACTGTCACTTTACGGTTCTTTCTCAAGCCTCCGAATGATTTCGCGGCTCCTCTCCACCACGTGCAACACTTTCATGGTTTTACATTCGTTCCCTTCGGCCTTGCCACGTTCATTGGCGCAACCCCAACCAATTTCAAACCGACTCATTTTTACTCTGCCGAAGTGAGGGGGGGAAGGAGGATCTCTTAGAACTGAATGAATTGTTGAGTAGAGAGAGAGTACAGGTGAATATACCTAAGTGTTGTACCCTCTAAGAGGTGACCCTATACAGTCTATGCAAACATAGGAGCTACACATGTTTGACACACCCCCTAGACTGCATAGGGGCAGGTCCTGAATAAGCAGCTAAGGACGGCACTACTAGTCCAGCCACTAAGACAAGTGTCTAAAAGACCAGTCAGACGGAGTACAGGCAAGGCAAGAACAAGACCAAGGCGGCACTACTAGTCCAGCCACTGGGAGAGGACACAAGTCCAGTCTGAGTACACATATATATAAAGGACAGTACAAAGTCAAGGCCCTACCAAGTGAGAGGCTACAGGAACTAGACCAAGCTGTACACAGTGCCGCTGGTGATCTTTAGGCGCAAGCGCCTTCGAAAAAGATATCTGCTGTGTCGGCACCTGAGGCCAAGTGTACTACGCGAGCCTAGCGGCGCTGCTGTAGCTCATGCAGGAGGAAGTACCGCAGCTGGATATGCTTCGCTCTGCCCTCGAGTCGAGGCTCTTGACACAGGAGGATCATGGCCCTGTTGTCAGCGTACAGGACCGGGGCAGAGCTAGGCCGGTCAGCCAGCGGAGCTCCTGTGCCGCCATGGCACCAGCGTAGATCTCAGCCTCACAGCTGGACTGGGCAACAGACGAGGAGCGGGTAGCTCTCCACGAGACGGCACCTGAACCGAGGCTGAAGCAGTAGCCCTGGGAAGACCTAAGTGTCTCGCGTCGTCTGCCCAAGAAGCGTCTGTGTGTCCAGTAAGGACCACTGGCCTACGTCCTCCTAGCACTAACCCCATGCCCGATGTACTAGCAAGATAACGCAAAACCCTCTTAGCGGCAGACCAGTGCTGCGATCGGTGTCTACCTGCGGCCACAAAGCGAGCCAGGATGCTGAGAGGGTATGCAAGATCTGGGCGAGTGCAAGTCATCAGGTACATGAGGCAACCCACCAGCTCTGCGTAGGGGCCGCTGGGCTCTACCAACTCCTCAGAAACTGGAGCGGAGAGTCTGTGGTCTACAGGCAGAGGGGTGGGCTGTGCAGAAGAGAACTGAAGGCCGAACATCTGAAGGACCTGGCGCACCAAGTGTGACTGAGTCAGGGTGATGGTGCGCGCTGCTCTGTCCCTGGAGATCTGCAAGCCAGGGTAACGGCGCAGTTCTCCAAGGTCAGTGCACGTGTGTCTCTTCAGCAGCTCTGCCTTCACGGAGGCCAGTGCGTCCCTGTCTGCTGTGGCAAAGACCAGATCGTCGACGTAAACAAGGATGTAGAACGGAGTCTGGCTAGTACGAACGAAGAGTGAGGGGTCTGCGGAAGACGGAAAGAACTGCAGGTCAGCAAGGGTAGCACGCAGCGTGTCGTGCCACTCACGAGGAGCCTGGCGCAGGCCGTAGACGGGGCACCGCAGGAGCCACTGGGTCCCAGGAGGGAAGGTGCCAGTAAAGCTCTGAGGGCGACGCAAGTAGACCTGCTCGTGTAGGCTGCCCTGAAGGAAGGCAGTGGAGAAGTCGAGGGAGTGAAGCTCGTAGTCACGCTGAGTAGTTAGGTGTAACAGAACCCGAAGAGTAGTCATCTTCGGGGTCGGAGCGAAGGTCTGGAAGAAGTCCAACCCCTCACGCTGACTGAAGCCTCTAGCCACGTAGCGCGCCTTGAATACAGGCGGCTCTCCAGGAGGGCGCTTCACCTTGAAGAGCCAGCGGCCATCGACTACGTTCACCCCACGCGGGGGAACTGCGTCGACGAAGGTGCCGGTGGATCTCCAAGATGCCATCTCTTGCTCCATGGCAGCTATCCACTGAGAGGCCCAGGGTCCCGAGGTCGCCTCAGCGTAAGTGCGAGGGGTCGGGATGTCAAAAGCGTCTGGGTCACCCTCAGGGACTAGCAGCATGGAACAGAGATGGGGAGCAGCCTTGGACAGGAAAGCAAGCTCGAACAGACGGTCCTCCAGGACGTCACTGCCGAGGGCAGGAGCACCCCCGACAGACGGAGGACAGGCAGGGTCACAGACCAGAGCGGTGGCATAGTCAAGGCGGCGGGTAGAGGCGATGTCAGCGACCGCAGCTACAAGAGCGTCAAGACACGAGACCGGAACAGACGGGTCGGTAACGAGAGAGGCAAGGACCCGAGGAACAAGAGGACGAGCGGCACGAAGGTAGTCAGACAGAGGGGGGGGTGCAACGACAAGGGAGGACGGAGGAGGCGACGGGAGAAGGGGAGGACGAGACGCGTAGGAACGAAGCAACATAGGGTGAGAGCGCAAGACAGGGGAGACAGGACGAGCACGGGAGGGACGGCGAGACCAGACGTGAGACGGAGGAGTCGGGTCAGGAGACAGAGGAGGGGACACAGGGGGGGAATGAGGGGGAAGACGAGCCGGGGACGAGTCCGGCGGAGGGAACACCGGGCCGTAGACGGGAAGAGGAGGAGACGGCAGGAGAGGAACAGACGCAGGGTCAGGGGACGGAAGGCCGAGCAGGCGAAGGGCGGACACCGGCGGGGACTGCTGCGGCGGCGGCACAACGCCAACACCGGGACCGCAAGCTGCTCCTCGGCTACCAGTGCCACACCCCACGCCAGCACCCCTAGAGGGAACACCCCCAGGGCCCGAAACCCGTCGAGCACCGGTACCACCCCCAGGGCCACCGGGACTAGCACGCACTCCAACGCCAGCATCTCCAGAGTTAACGAACGGCTGCTGCGACGGCGGCGGCGGCGGCATCGACAACGACGGGTGCAGCGGCGGCGGCGGAGGTGACGACGGCTGCGACAGCAGAGGCAACTGCGGCGACAGAGGCAGTGGAGGAGGGGACGCCTGGGGAGGGGCAGCCGGCGAGGACTGCGCCACAGGACCACCAGAGTAAGAAGACTCCTCAACCGGGACCACCGACGGAAGAGGTGTGACGTGGGACACACCAGAGGGGGCAAGACGGGGAGGAGGAGGGGGGGGGGGCAGGGACCACCAGGGAAGGAGTGACCAGGAACAGGGGGGGGTAACCGGGGGACCGCGTTGGGGGAAGCGACGGTAGAAGGAGACGGACTCGTCAAAGGTGACGTCGCGAGAGTGAAAGAAGCGGTGAGACGGCGGGTGGTAGAAGTGCCAGTCGGACGCGTCAAGGGGAAAACCGAGGAAGACGCAGGGAAGGGTGCGGGCAGTGAGCTTGTCTGTGCCAGAGGCACGAACGTGAGCAAGGCAGCCCCAGACGTGGAACGCAGACGCGTCACCAGGAGACCCGGTCCAAAGACGGGTCGGCGAAACCTGCGGCTGCTGGGGGTGCGGCCACAGGTTAAGCTGGTGAGAAGCGTAGCGCACAGCGAACGGCCACAGAAAATGGGGTGCACCGGCATGGATCATGGAGGTGCGAGCCACCTCCATGACCAAACCGATGCATCGCTCAGCGACCCCATTCTGCTGTGGGGAGTCCGGCAGGGTGAACGTCTGGGTGATGCCCTCCGCACGACAAAAGCGACCAAGGACACCTGAGGCAAACTCTCCACTACGGTCGAAGTGAAGACGCAAGACAGGGAGACCTTGGTGGATACGGGCAGAGACAAGCCAGGGGATAAGAGCGTCAGGCACGTCGGCCTTGCGCTCCAGGGGAAAGACTGTGGTGTAGCGAGTGAAGTCGTCGACAAGCACGAGGAAGTAGCGCTCTCGACGCGGCCCATGGACGGGGGCGGGGCCTGAGACGTCCATATGCTGGGTCTGCAGCGGCGTGGCGGTAGGGGGAAACGAGGAGGAGTGAGGGGCACGGCGAAGCCGACCCTCGACGCAAGGCGTGCAAGGTGGGGTGGGGGAGGAGGGAAAAGCGGGGAGAGAACCAGGGAGACCAAGGATGAGACCGTGCTGGGACATGTGACGCAGACGCGGGAGCGCAGGGTGACCGAGGCGGTGGTGCCAAAGGAGAGTCGGGTGAGTGAGGGACCGACAGGAGCAGGCAGCAGCAACTTGGGAAGACGCAGCCACCTGAAGGGGCGCCCCAGCCGGGGGGGTCACGGTGTCCAGAGTGAACAGGCCGGACTCCGGGTCCCGGGGGAACGTGGACAGGGCACCAGTGGCGGCCTCGGTACAGACAGCATGCCGCTCGTGACCAGGGAACGTAGTGGTGACGCCAAGGTCCTGGAGGCAGCCGACACCAACTAGGTTCCTGGAGAACGAGGGGATATGCAGACCTGTGAGTGAGCCCGAAGGGACCGCCGGACAGGGAAGGGCGGTGGAACTGCGGGCGACTACCGTACCGCCGGAGGGGTCAGCAAGAGAAACGGCAGCAGGAACAGGAAGCGGCGTCAGTGTAGTGAAGTCGCGGAAGAAGCACCGAGAAGCGCCAGAGTCCAGCGAAGGAAAGCGAAGCAGTGGCGTCCGGCGACAGGGCGACGGCGGAAGCACCAAGGCTAAACAAACCAGGGGCTCCTACGCCTGACGCAGCAGGGGAGGCTAAGCTAGGCACACCTACACTAGACGACAATGAGTAATAAGAGGGAAGCACACTAGAGTCATCAGCATACATCACATGCAGAGCAGAAACAATGGCATCCATGTCCATGTCAAAAATCTGAATCCTACGACTAAGCAAACTGTGCCAGTCCGGGAGGTCTGGCGACGGGCCGAAGCGCTGACGAAACAGGTCGTCCAGGCGACGAAAACAGCAAGGAGTGGTATGATCGAGCTTACTGCAAATGAAGCCGCGATGAGGACCGTTCTGGATCTGGTACTGACAACGCACGCCTCCCAAACCACCACTCGGCACACCACCACGCGCACGACCACCTCTAGCGCCAGGCCACCCGGGCGGGAGGACACTCGCCTGCCTCGTCTGCGGCGGTTGCTGCGGCTGCTGCGTCAGCTGCGGCTGCTGCTGCTGCTGCGACTGCGGAGGCGGCTGCTCAGCTGGACCGGGCAGGGTCCCCTCGTCCACTCCAGCACTAGATGACCCGACTCCACCACCACCCCCACCTGCACCCGCTCCTCCTCCGCCGCGCCCAACCTTGGGGCGGCGGCCCTTC